CCCCAAAACCCCAAAACCCCAAGGATGTTAATTTTTTGTAAATTATAGATAATAGGAATTAAATCAAAGAGTTGATTGTTTGGATTTAGTTCCCAAAGTCCAGAATTTTTCATTGAGTAAAATCCTTTTAGTCTCAACTTCAACTTTAAGATCAACATTTGACCTACTTGAAATTGATGGCATTTTAACTTCTTTCTTCGGACTTAAATCAATAATTTCAAGAGCAGTCTTCTTGGTATACATGTTTACTGGAAGTCTTCCAAACTTGCTATTTGATTAAATATTTTAGACACTACTTTTTCTAGATGTAAATTTGCTCATTGGAGATAGGATATTTAAAATTTTATTTTCTATATCATAATCAGGGGCTTCATCAAATGGAGTAACTTTCTAAGCATATTAAGATACTTGCTAAGTTGAATAATAATTTGACTAGTACTTGCTAGAAAGAGACTTAGCAACTTTAAATAAATTGAGCTTTTAAAGATCTGGAAGATCCTTGATGTTAATATCCATTGAGTTTTTAATCAATCTCATTTTCATATGGTTATTAAGGTCAAAAGCTGGGAGACTCATTGCATCTTTGAATGATAATAGTCTCATTGTTTAATTGGCTCCTTCTAAGATCTATCGAGTTGTTTGCATTTTAGTTGGGCTTATCGTATCTTTATCTTTTTACCTGTTGCTTATTTCTTTCTGAGTGTTATTTGGATTGGTATTATGCCAATTTTTGACTGGCTAGTATCTTGTTAATTAAGATTGAAACTTTTAGGTATTTATGGATGAGAAGGTATCATGGAGAACATCCTGACTATTAGATCTAAGTTAGAATTTAGGAATATTAGTAAAAGTCTGGTTCGTCAGAATTAACTTCATTTTGTCATTATTAGCTTAATCTTTACACATACTATCTGCCTCTTGCCTAAGTCTATCTAGTTCTGATTATTCAAGGTATGGCTTGAGTTTATATTTTTAAACCTTTTACTTTTTCAAATCTGTATTCTTTGGAGATCCGACTTTACCATGCATCTCTTCTATGAAAAACTTCAAATTTTTAAAAGCTCTATTTTCCTTAAACTTTCCTGGCTTCCAAATTGGCTTTAAGTCATCTTCCACTAATTTAGTAATGACATTTGATCTATCTTTTATTTTCTCTTCAGAATCTTAGCTAAACCTGCCTTAAGATATCTTCCTTTAAGACTGATTTTAGAAGGAACTTCTTTGCTAAGAAAGGAAGCTAGTTTTAAATCCTTCTTAATTCCTTTTACTTCTTACTTCAACTTTTATCTGAGATATAAATTGCGGAGTTAAAGTATTATTTGCATAATTTTGTTCAAACCTATCAAGATATCTCCTCATTTTCTTAGTTTCAATTGCTGGTTCATTTTCACGGTCAGCAGGACTTTTGATTGATTCCAGTGTTTTATGCTATGATGATTCGTTTTGAATTGAAATTCTGTCATTTTGAGCAGTCTAGTCTTCATTGAGTGTAGATAACTATGATTTATTGCCATCTAGGCTTTATTTTTCCAAAGTTTTTGAATTCAAAAAAGAATCCTAGATGCTTTTATTATGATTTTTATTGTTTTATGCAAAGTTTTCTTCATTAGGAACTCTATCAAACTCAAATATCTAAAATATATTGGCTTATAACTATATTATATTACCTTCAAGAATTATTCCATGTCAGATCTGAGATTATTCTTGTTTGATATAGATTTCTCCACACCAATCAATTACCCTGTCAGCTCCTAATGCTAGATTTAATGATAGATGTAATTTAGCATAGAGTTGAAGTTCATAGGAATGTAAATCATCTTATCTTCTTCAAGCTTACCTCTCTCGTTTTTCCTAAGGTTCTTCATTATCTTACGAAATTCTATAGCAATTATGATTAATCAACTACTTTAGTCTATTTTCTTACCATTGGCAACTTTTTCATTGAGCATAAACTCTTTGAACTCTTCAAGATCCATTTTTCCAGCTTATTCAGCATTTATCATTGAGAATAACTTTTTCATATCATTTTAACTAATGTCAAAGCCGAATTGTTAAAACATTTCATTCATCTCACAGACTTCCAAAGTTCCTATTCATTTTAATTTATATCTAATAATTTAAATCTTACCTGATTTATCGTCGTCAAAGTTATTGAATAGCATTTCAAGGGCAAGTAATCTTTTTAATTGAGATGGTGTGTTCATATAATTGAGAGAAGCTTTCTTTTTAAACCTCTTTTTAAGCCATGATACAGTTCCAGATTCTTTTAATGGGTTTATGTCGACATTTTTCGTAGTCTATGGCAGCTTATTAAACTGAAATAAAGTCTATCTTTGAGTTTTCAATTAAGTTATTCTAGATATTTCCTCTTTTGAAAGGGTAGGAATCTTTGAGTTTTCTTAAACGTCAGCAAAGCTAAATTATATACTTTAGTCAAGTTTAATCACGGACATTTATTTTATTTATCTATTATTGTATCATATCCTACTAATGATGGGGTTTTGGGGTTTTGGGGAGATCGGAAGAG